GCTTCTTCAAGGACCCCATTTCAGGAGTGTGCCCACATGGGTCCCCCTCAGCACATGGCTTCTTCAAGGACCCCATTTCAGGAGTGTGCCCAATGGGTCCCCCTCAGCACATGGCTTCTTCAGAGACCCCATCTCAGGAGTGTGCCCACATGGGTCCCCCTCAGCACATGGCTTCTTCGGAGGAGGCAATCCAGGCAAGGGACTCCAGAAGAGAAGGTAAGGGACTGCTCTGTGCAATACCATTGCACAGAACAGATAAGTATAACATATTTTTTATTTTAATGAAAAAAAAAAGCCTTTACAGTTCTTTTAAAGGATAACGTTCACCTTTTGCCCAAAACTAATAAACGCACATTTTTTTGCAGGTAAAAAAATTTGCATTTAATATTTTTTGTTTCAGGAGCCTTTAAGTCATTGCACCAGCGATCAGCAGATCGCTGATGCCATGCAGGTCTCCTGCAGACCTGTCAGTATATCTGCTTGCTAATAGGGAATGTACAGGCAAGCAGATATACTGGCAGGAAGAATTATTGAACTACCACGGTGCTCCACAGCGCAGTGGTAGTCCTTTGAGTACTACAAGCCAACAGCCACTAAGGCTGTTGGGACTTGTAGTTCATTAATTCACAGAACACTGTGCATGAATAGTACGGCCCCACTGTTTTTAAAAAGTGACAACTATTATGGGGAACTTCTCCCTATATTTCTGTCACGGAGATAGCAGCGGCTGCAGCCCTGGGAACTTGTCACATGTTCCACCAAAAAAACAGGTGAAACATGTAACATGTTCCCAAAGGTGAACTTATCCTTTAAGCATTAGTGTGCAACTCTGAAACTGGCATTGCTTAGGCACACAGTGCAGGTCAGAGTGGTGGATCGGGCCGCTAGGCAAAAGTAGACACATTCTGGTTCTACCTGCACAAGCTCACCATTACATTGATCACTTTAGTGCAAGTACAAAGTTGATTAGGCTTCTTGCACAGGATATAATATTCAGTGATGTTTATACACAGGATAATCTGGCTAAGGCTGGCAGAAAGATCCGGAGTAAAAATCACAAATTGCATAAAGATCTCCCTGTATACACATGCACAGGTGCCTACAAATGTGTTATGTGTATACATGCAGAGATTACTTCTTCATCCCTCTTCTAGCTGCCAGTGTTGTCATTTATGTATGCATATGCTCCTACATAAATACTTGCATATACAGGCTTGTGTAAATTACTACACTCAAACATAAAATTTTCTATTTTTTTTTTTTTTTTTTACAGCTCAGAACGCATCATGTTTGCTGTGTCATAGGAGGTCGTGGACCACACACGTGCGGGGATTTGAGAGCTCGTCCCTGTGATGATGAGGGTGAGCAGTAACGGCTGGGAGTGTCTTAGCAACATCTTAGCAACAAGGCAGCCTGGGATGATACTATGTACGGCGGTTATTCAGCCAGGATTTAGCAGGAACATCAATGGCCTACACTAATAATTAAGGCATTGTCAAAGTTTAGTCAAAGCAGCACAGTTTGTCTTTGTCTATAGACGCCCCTCACCCGCATAGGCAATTTTTTGGTAAAGGTGAACTAACCATTTAGGCAGCTGTGTGCATTTTCCCATAGACAACAAAGCACCTGTGTTTAGCTAAATGGCCACAAATGTGGCATTTTGTCGCCTGTGGGCAAGAAGCCTTAAAATACTCACTGATAATTGGATTCTGAAAGCTTGAATCTCATTGATGTCAACTGTGCAACACTGACAACTCCACTTGAAACATTTTTCAGAGATCCTTTGCATGTTACGCTAAGTGATCCTTAGGGAGTTATGATTCAGCACTATAAGATCATCTATCCATCTGTTCAATACAGACGACTCGACACATGAACCGCCTCTGAAAATGTCAATAAACAAAGAGTCCCACAGCTAATATTATAGTAATTAAATTTACATGTCTAGAGTACACACAAATCAGCTGGCACAATCTCAAAGTACTGTCTTATAAGTTATAGCCCATTTATTATTTTATGTTACAGTAGCTGCTTTACTGCTTTAGATGTTTATTCTAGCTGAAGTACATATCGTCTTGTCAGTGCTTGGAGCAATGCCACTGGGGGAAGTAACAGTAAATCAATATGTAACTCCACCACAAGTCCCTAGAGCCCAATTCCTATTTACTTATTTTACAGCAGTCCTTGCAGCAACACAAAAGGGATTCTTGTGGTTTTGGTGCTGCTGATCTGAATATCTTTCCAATGCTGGGATTTTTCTATTATTGGGCCTGTGGTCTACGCTTAACCGCAAGATTCTGATAGACCTCACACACTCAGTAAAGGGTTAGGTTATGTCAGGAACCCAAAGCAATCACATGGCTAAGAAACAGCATACAAGGAGAATTAATATCATCAAACATCAACTACATTGTTTCTGAGCCAAGAGACTTTTTACCCCATAAACAATTAACTACCATTAAACCTGTAATTGGTTTAGCAGATGTTTTGACGAAGAAACTGGACCAAACACAAGCACACAGTCAAAAGAATTCTGTAGTTTTTGATTTGTTGTGGTTTGTGTCCCTGTTGGTGACCTTTTCTCTCTTTTCCTGTTTTGGTGATCTTGATCGTCACATGGGCAGGAAGTGTGAGAAACCATCTCAATGGGGACATGGACAACAGAAGAAACCTGGAAGAGGTCCTAACTCTTTCAGCCCCACATCCAAGCACTGTCCAAAGCTTGCAACTCAACATTGGTAACATCTCTAAAATATGCTCCTTCCTAACACGACACCACAAAGCTCTGAATTCACTCCCCGGTTATCCCTCGCCTCGACTACTGCAGCTCCCTCCTCACTGGCTTACCTTTACACAGGCTATCCCCACTTCAGTCCATCATGAATGCTGTTGTCAGACCCATCCATCTTAAAGCAAAACTCAATGGATCATGGATCGGCTGCTTGTCTTTTCTAGGGGTGAAGACTAAACTCATACTCACCTGACCCGGAAAACCTTGCTCTCTCCCCCCACCCCAGCGGTGGACTGTTTCTGTCTGTGGTGCATGCATTGAGCATGCTGACGCCAGGAACAGTCCATTTACAAGACCACAGGACCACGCAGGGGGGTGGGCCATTTGTGGCAGAACCGTCTTCTGCGGAGAGGATCGGTGGTTCAGGTCAGTAGATGTTTGGTGTCTTCTCCCCTAGAGCAAAATGAGCATTTGCCCCGTGCAGTGCCGACACAGCCCCACTGCCTGGGCCAAACATTTTATTTCCTGGATTTATACTTTAAACTATTCGGCATCCATCACTCCTCTCTGCCAATCCCTCCATTGGCTGCCACTCACCCAACAAATTAAATTAAAAATGCTAACAAAGTCATCCAAAACTCCCCCCCAGCTACATTACTAACTTAGTCTCAAAATACCAAAACACATCGTTCTCTTTCTTCCTTCCAAGACATCCTGCTCTCTAGCTCTCTTGTCACCTTCTCCCATGCTCGCTTCAAGGACATCTCCAAAGCCTCTGCCATCCTATGGAATTCCCTAACACAATCTGTCCGACTGTCTCCTATTCTGTCTACTTTTGGATGATCCCTGAAAACCCATATCTTCAGAGAAGCCTACCCCTCCTCCAGCTAACAACTGTACTTTTATTTTCTCCATCAGCTTATCCCCCACAAGTATTATCTTTTTACCACTTGACCCTCCATTTTAGATTGTAAGCTCTAACGAGCAGGGCCCTCTGATTCCTTCAGTATTGAATTGTATTGTAATTGTACTGTCTGTCTTCATGTTGTAAAGCGCTGTGCAAACTGTTTGCTGCTATATAAATCCTGTATTATAATAATAATAATTCTACTCCACTCTACCCCATTGGAGTGATTTCCCTTTTTACTTTTTTTGCTCCCTTTCCGTCAAAAGTTGGGGAATGTAGAAAGATAGCGCTAGACCCGGTGATATGGTATTGATGTTGGTGTAAATGATCTGGTTTCTAGGGCAGGCGGCTTGTACACCCCAGAGGATCTCCACAGTCTCCTTGGCTTACAGTGTAATATAACAAGAACTTAAATTGAAGAGGTCCAGATACAACTTTATTCCATTAAAAGTCAGGGATGCAATCCAAAAAGTAGGCAATGCGTTTCAGGGTTCCAAGCGCCCCCTTCATCAGGGCTTGACTGGCAACAATCAGCAGCTGGCGGACAAGCTGGTGATAAGGCCTGTGCTTGTAATTTACACTAGAAAAAATACAATTGTAGGCCCACTTCACTTCTGGTTTGTTCACATTGTTGCCAGTCAAGCCCAGATGAAAGGGGTGCTTGAACTCCTGAAACATGTTGGCTACTTCTTCGATTGTAGCCCTACTTTTAATGGAATAAAGTTGTATCTGGACCTCCTAGCTCGGGTGTGGTGTTTCAATTTCAATTTCCCTGTGAAAAGACTGGGATACCAACACTATAGCAGCAATCCTGGCACATTATTCCTAGCCAACATATACAATTCCTGGAAAAGATCCTCTACCACCCAAGGTGAAGATGCCATTATGTGCCCCTGCCCATCCCCCAAACTCACACAGATCATGCTTGTGTGTAAAAATGTACAATGGTTGGCCTGGCTCAGTGTGCAGAAATGATGGCTGCTGTTCACTTGTCCGAAGGTTACCACCTTTAGGCCTATGGAAAGCCAAACAGTATAAAGGGGTTTGCAACATGGCTAAACTAGCGTGACTTAGTCATATTGAGTACAATGCAAGAGGATTAGGTTTTCATTAACATTATTGTACCCATAATGTGTTCTCCTATATGGGATCTATGGTTAGTTCTATAGTAATGTATCAAAATTATATCTGGAATTTGTTCATTTCTGGTATAAAGCATGGTAATGTTATTTACTAATGAAATAAAGGCTTTTAATTAATTCATCAATTAAGGAAACCGTATAGAAAAAGAAAGAATAGCTAAGGGAAAAAGGGGTTTTACATCTGAAATAAAAAAAAGAATGGCTGAATACACACACTTACCACAAAGCTTATTCTGGAAGACAGACGTCAGCGTTTCAATCTGACTAAAATTGGCTACTAAGAAGACATGTTCCTCGTGTGGCTCACTTCCAATGGATTTCAAAGTGTCCATATCTACCCGACCCACCCCAACAGCAAATATTAAGATCCCAGAGTTCCTTGCCTTTGCTGAAATTTCAGCTACAGGGTCCTGTGGTCTGCCATCAGTTACTATCATGATAATCCTTGGAACAAATTTATATGATGGGCGGGCCCCCTCAGTTTCAGAAAAGGCAATGTTCATGGCATACTGAATGGCCAGTCCCGTCATGGTTCCAGTGGCAAGGTGCATCATCCTCTTCACTGCTCGTTCAATATCAGATTTCTTTTTGTAAGTCTTCAGGGAAAACTCATTTTTTACTGTGCTGCCATATTGTATCAGACCCACCCTGGTAGCATCTGGGCCAATGTCCAGGAACGTCAGCATAGTGATTAGAAATTCTTTCACCTTTTCAAAATCGTACGGGCGTACACTTCGGGAACTGTCGATGATGAAGACAAGATCCAATGGCTTGTTATGACAGGCTTCCTCTGAAAAAGAATACACAGTAGGCAATGAAATACTCTTACAATACATGCAAAGCAAACATAATAGCATCATTATGGCATTTTATGCTGGCTGATCACTAAAAAGAGTGGGATATTTGAAAACGTTTTACTTTTGACTGCTGGTGATTGCTGGTGCTTGTAGTTGTTTTATTTTCTTCTTTAGGTCTTGCTAAAAGCTTTTACTTTTTTAAATCCCTTTTTCTGTCACTTTTTAAAAATAGCATTTTTTTTTATCCCTAACAGCCGGGAGGGCAGACCATCTGGGAGGGGTGGTGAGGGTAGTGCAGGAAGGCCTAGACAGCTGGTTGTAGTAGGGGATTCTATGATCAGAAGGACTGATAGAAAAATTTGTCACCAGGATCGCCTCAACCGAATGGTTTGCTGTCTCCCTGGTGCCAGGGTTCGGCATCTGGTGGACCGAGTTGATAAAGTACAGGGAGGGGCTGGGTATGACCCAGCTGTCTTGGTTCATGTTGGAACCAATGACAGAATACATGGAAGGTGGAGGCTCCTTAAGAATCAATTTAAAGAACTAGGCTGCAAGTTGAAGGGGAGGATTTCCAAGGTTATATTCTCTGAAATATTACCTGTGCCATGTGCAACTCAAGAAAGACAGAGGGTGATTAGAGAACTCAATGCATGGCTGAAGACCTGGTGTAAGAGGTTTCTAGAGCACTGGGCTGACTTTTCATTGGGGTGCAACCTATTTGCTAGGGATGGTCTGCACCTAAATGGAAGGGGGTCTGCTGCGCTGGGAGAGAGGTTTATGGGAAGGCTGGAGGAGTATTTAAACTAGGATCGATAGGGGAGGGAGAATTAGATTATAATGGGGCAGACAGATCAGACAGGGGTCAGTACTTATTGGTGGGTGGGATGGGGAAAGATGGGGGAAGGCTATGGCAGATGATAAGAAGGTTCCCATGTTACAAACAACCAGTGGAATTGGTACCGTTTGTATGAAAATAAAAAATATGCAAAATACGTGAGAACAAGGTGTCAATCAATTAAAGTGTTTGTTCACCAATGCCAGAAATCTGCCAAGCAAAATAGGTGAGTTGGAAGCTTTGTTGCATGAAGAGAGCTATGATTTAATTGATATTGCTAAATCTTGGCTTCATTCTTCGCATGACTGGGCCATTAATATTCCTGGCTGTGTTCTCTTTCAGAGAGACAGGCTAAATAGGAAAGGTGGTGGTGTAAGTCTCTATGTGAGAAGTGATCTCAGAGTGAGTGTGAAAGAGGACCTAGTTGATGGAGAGTGTGATGAGGCTGAAGTATTATGGGTGGAACTGCACATGAGGGTGACTACCACAATGGTAATCATTGGAGTTTGTTATAAGCCTCCCAGTGCTAATGAGGAGGTGGAGACTCAGCTCCTTGCACAGATCGAAAGGGCTGCAAGGGCTGGGACAGTGATACTAATGGGGGATTTTAACTTCCCGGAAATTGACTGGAGTAATGGTACTGCAGGAACAGTTAAAGGGCAAAAATTTTTAAACCTACTACAGGACAATTTTATGGTACAGTTCATAGAGGCAAATGTCCATATAAAAGAACATCTGGGTAGCAGTGACCATAACATGATTTCATTTATTGTTAGCTGTAAACAGCGAGCACATACAGGAAAAATAAAAACGCTCAATTTCAAGAGAGGTAATTTTCCAAGGCTGAGAGCTGCTCTCCAAGACTTAGACTGTAAGAGAATATAGGCATTGATGAACACAACACAGAAATGGGAGTTTTTCAAAAAGACTGTATGTGAACACACTGCAAAATATATTCTCATGAGCAACAAGTTTAAAAGGCTAAAAATGTGGCTTACGGCCAAAGTTAAAAAGGCTATAGATAATAAGAAAAGAGCTTTTATTCAATATAAAAATGAAGGAACGTTATCATCGTTTAAACATTACAAAGAATATAACAGAATATGCAAAAAGGAAATAAAGGCTGCAAAAATTGAAAACGAATGTCAGATTGCAAATGATAGCAGGACCAACCCCAAAAAATTCTTCAAATATATTAATAGTAAAAAGGTCCGGTCCAAGCATGTAGGCCCTTTACAAAATAATCTAGAGTGGGTGACTGGGGACAAAGAGAAGGCAATTTTATTTAATACCTTCTTCAGCCCTGTTTATACAAAGGAGCATGGGGGAGCTCTTGTCCATAATGGGCATGGTATTGACACAGCTCCAGATGATCCACATTGGCTCACAATTGATATGATCTAAAAATATTTAGACAGAATAAAGGTGAATAAAGCACCTGGACTGGATGGCATACACCCATGGGTCCTTAAAGAATTGAGCTCTGTCATTTCAAAGCCTTTGTTTCTAATTTTTAGGGACTCTTTAACCATTAGCCGCCCGGCCTATAGCCGTTTGGCGGCCGCAAAAATGCTGTAGATTTCTGGGGTATACGCCATTTGGCGTCCTCCCGCACATGCGCAGTTCGCATGTGCGGGAGGACACAGCTAATCACATGTCATGTGATTAGCTGTGACCAAATCACAGCTAAGCACAAAAAAAAAAAAAAAAAAGCTGAATGAATCGATTTCATTCAGGTAAATGCTTGCTTATAGCAAAGTAATTCTTTGCTATAAGCAAATTGTGTAAAAAAAAAAAAAAAAATACTGATCACTTCCCCAAAGTAGTACAATGTTACTATGGTAACATTGTACTACTTTGGTCATAGTAATATATTAAAAAAAAATCTTAAATTTTTTTTTAAAAAATGTAATAAAAAAAAAATAAAAAATATATATATATATTTTTTTTCATACTGTCACCAGTCAGTGTCCCTTTTCACCACTATGCCAGTTATATGATGATGCTGTACTGCACTGGTGACAGTATGTAAAAAAAAAAAAATAGTGAAAATAATTTTTTTAATTTTTTCATTTTCCGAAAAATTATGACAAAAAAACACAACTTCAAAAAACTCGCCATTCCTCTTATGAAGTACGTTGGACTCTCTACTCTGCAAAAAGGGGTCATTTGGGGATATCTGTACTATTCTGACATTCTTGGACCTCAAGAAATTAGATTGGCTGTCAGTACTTCAGGATTGATCAATATTCAGATCTATACCATAGTTTGTGAACTCTATAACTTTCCTACAAACTAAATAATACATCCTAATTTGGGTTATTTTCACCAAAGACATGTAGCAGAATACATCTCGGCCTAAATTTATGAAGAACAACTATTTATTTGTAAACTTTTATAACAGAAACAAAGAAAAACGTGTTTTTTTTTTTTTCAAAATTTTTGGTCTTTTTTTGTTAATTTAGCAAAAAATAAAAACCCCAGCGGTGATTAAATACCACCAAAAGAAAGCTCTAGTTGTGGGAAGAAAATGATAAAATTGTAGTTTGGGTACAATGTTGTATGACCGCGCAATTGTCATTCAAAGTGTGAGAGCGCTGAAACATGAAAACTGGCCTGGGCAGGAAGGTGTAAAATTGCCCGGTATTGAAATGGTTAATGACATAGTACCACTGAATTGGCGTAAGGCCAATGTGGTGCCAATATTTAAAAAGGGGTCAAAATCTTTATCAAGTAATTATAAACCTGTTAGTTTAACTTCTATAGTTGGGAAGATACTGGAGAGTTTAATAAAAGACCACATAGATGAGTTCTTGCTGGAAAAAAATATTTTAAGCAACAGACAGCATGGATTCATGAAAGACAGAAGGTGTCAAACAAATCTGATTTCTTTTTATGAAGAGGTGAGCAAAACCTTGGACAGAGGGGTGGCGGTGGATGTGGTATACTTGGATTTTGCAAAAGCGTTTGACACAGTTCCCCACACATGGCTAATGTGTAAGGTAAAGTCTACAGGCTTGGAAAATTCTGTATGTAAATGGACAGAAAACTGGCTAAATGATCGTATTCAGAGAGTAGTGGTTAATGATTCATACTCTGAATGGTCTAGGGTTGTCAGTGGTGTACCCCAAGGTTCAGTGTTGGGACCCTTACTTTTTAATATATTTATAAACAATATAGGGTCTGGGATTAAAAATCCCATCTCAGTCTTTGCAGATGACACCAAGCTGTGCAGTGGAATAACGTCCTTACAGGATGTCTTCAATTTACAAGCCGACCTCAATGCACTGTTTAATTGGGCAACTATGTGGAAAATGAGGTTTAATGTTGATAAATGTAAGGTTATGCACTTGGGGGCTAAGAATATGCATGCATCATACATACTGGGGGGGGGGTACAACTGGGGGAATCAATGGTGGAGAAGGATCTGGGAGTTCTGGTAGATCACAAGCTTAATAATGGCATGCAATGCCAAGCTGTGGTTTCTAAAGTGAGCAAAATCCTCTCTTGTATTAAAAGAGGTATAGACTCCAGAGAGGGAGATATCAGATTACCCCGGTACAAATCATTAGTAAGACCTCATCTGGAATATGCAGTTCAGTTTTGGGCACCAATTAACAAAAAGAACATTGGGGAACAGAGAAGGGTAACTAAACTGATAAGAGGCATGGAGGAGCTCAGCTATTAGGAAAGATTAGAGGAACTGAATTTATTCTCTCTTGAGAAGAGGAGATTAAGGGGTGATATGATCAACATGTATAAATACATCAGTGGTTCATATAGTGAACTCGGTGTAGAGTTATTCACCTTGAGGTCACAGAGGACCAGGGGGCACTCTTTACGTCTGGAGGAAAGGAAATTAAATCTCCAAACACAGAAAGGTTTCTTCACAGTGAGAGCTGTGAAAATGTGAAATAGACTCCCTCAAGAGTTGGTTCTGGCCAGCTCAGTGGATTGCTTCAAAAAAAGGCCTGGATTATTTCTTAGATACACAGAATATAACTGGATACTAGGGATCAGGAAGGAATCTTTTTTCCCAGCAGGTGCAAATTGGATCATGCTTTGCTAGGTTTTTTTTACCTTCCTCTGGATCAACTGTGGGTATAGAATTATAACTTTTTTTTCTATGGTTGAACTGGATGTACTTTCATCTTTTTT